CTTATCTCGGATTCCGATATCTTCGGAGATAATCTCGGCCTTACCGAGATCACCTCGGCGTCACGACCAGGACACGTGGCACCTCGGCTGACACGTCGGCGTCACCTTGTCGCGTGTTGGTACTCAGAAAATATATCCCCACAATATGGATAATTGACATTCATCTTCAATATGACATGGATTAAAAGTAAAAAAAGCAAAAAAGCAAAAATTACAGTCAGTTGGAATTTTGAAAAATAATTACAAATAAGTAGTAAACTTTATATATATTAATAATTAGTCAAGAATCAAGTTTCATGCTTTCTAAGCTGCTTGAAATCGCACCTCCTAGCCGAGGTTCTGGTTCCATTAATTCGTAAACTCCAAGAGTTTTGCAACTGCTCCGCTCACACTCTCTGGTGAGTTCCCGATTTCCAGTCATCTATTTGACTCCGGCGATTTTCATATCGGCATTCATTTCACTTGGTAGGTTCATAAACTCTTTACTTGCTATTAAGCTCGATCTTTCATAACTCTTCTGAATCTGTTTACTTGCCATCTGTTGCCTTCTATTTTCGTCTCTCTTCAAGTTTTGAATTGTTTGAATGCCTGGCACTGTTCTTGTCATATCCGCTTTCTGTTGCTAGCATCATGTCTGGTTCATTACTTTCTTGTTTCTTCACATACTTACTTAGTGCCTGTGCACTTGGCTTTATTCCTGAACTTTGTCATTTTCTTGACTCTGAGTTTTCTCTTCTTGTTTTTCTTGTTGTATTTCCAGATTCTTGCCTTCGTTTCTGTTTTCTGCATAGTCTTACGTCCCTTCTTAAAATTGTTGCCGAGATCATGGTAGAGAAGCTCTTCCAGCAGACTGCTAATGCTGAACCATTGTCAACCGTTTAAAGTAGATTAGTCCGACGTCCTTGCCTTAGTCCCTAGTTCTTAGGGTCTTCATCTTTGTACTTTTGTTTTCTTTGCATATGTCTCCTTTTTTGCTTCTGAAAAATGTTTGTTGTTGGCCGATGTTAACATTCCTTGCTCCTTGATTATTATTCCTTCTTCCACTGCATTTGATAGCCATGTCGGGTAATTGACTTCTCGGATGGCCGTGGGCTCCAGAAGTCGGTCTACTTCTTCCTCTACTGCTTCGATATGTATCAACGTTGGCCCTCTTGCTCAATTGATTACAGGTTTGGCCGACCTTAATGTTTGCTCTCAAAAAAGCTTCTAATTCCCTTTCTTCTTCTTTGGCTAAGCCTAAGCCGAGAAGAAAGAAGCGTTCTTTATCCCCCTCCTGGACGAGGATTTTCAGTGCCACTTCACACCTCTCGACTGGCTCCTTGCCGACATCATCTAGTACCTCTATGTCCTCGTTTTCAATCTTTGCCTTCTCTAGTTCTCGAATGCTGCAGGTGGATTTCATTGCTGCCATGGAGCAATTCTCCGCCTGCAGTTGATCCCCTCTCACTTCTTCAATCCCATGTTCTGTTGGGAACCGCAGTAGTTGATGCAACGTTGAGGGAACTGCCCCCATTGTATGCAGCCATGCCCTTCCCAAGAGGATATTGTATGGTGAGGGCGTGTCAATCACCATGAATTCTGTCTTGATCTTCTTCTAACTGCTCTTGCATGATTCTATACTTAGAATATTTTGCATACCTTTCATACTTTGCCTCCTTTGTGCAATCTTCTCGGGGTTACATACCTCGGGTATAATAGCTACAAAACTTTTGCTTCGGCAAGATACTGACCTGTAAACTTTTCATAAATTCTAACAAGTGTGAAACATATACTACTCAATGTTAACTTTGCAAATTTTTTCTCAAGTTTCAACAAGTGTTTAAACGGTGATCTCGGTCTAGCCTACTTATAAATTGCTACAAATTTCAACAAGGATTAACATATACTGTAACAGGGATCAACAAGGATCAACATAACAAGTGTTAAACAATAATCTATTTGTAAATTGCTACGAATTTCAACAAGTGTTTAAACAATATACTTAGTTTTTTCCTCAACTTGTAAATTGCTGCAAATTTCAACAGATGATCATATGTCGGCTTATCGTTATCTTGTAAATTGTTACAAATTTCAACAAGTGTTAAGCATCTTCTCTGGTTTAACCAACCTGTAGATTGCTACAAGTGTTTAGCAATAATCTCAGATTTGCTTCAACTCGTAAATTGCTACGAATTTAAACAAGCGAAGAGAAACAGTAATCTTGGCTTAACTTCAACTTGTGAATTGCTACAAATTTCAACAAGTGAAGATAAGGAACCATTTTAGCTTAACTTTAACTTGTAAATTGCTACAAATTTCAACAAGTGAAGATAAGGAACCATCTCGGCTTAACTTCAACTTATAAATTGCTACAAATTTCAACAAGTGAAGATAAGGAACCATCTTAGCTTAACTTCAACTTGTAAATTGCCACAAATTTCAACAAATGAAGATAAGGAACCATCTTAGCTTAACTTCAACTTGTAAATTGTTACAAATTTCAACAAGTATTTAACCATAGTCTTCAATCTTGTAAACTCTTCTCAAGTTTCAACATCATCTCGGCTTAACTTCGGTTAAGCATTATCTCAGTTTAATTTCGGTTAAACATCATCTTCGGCTTAACTTCAGTTAAGCATTATCTCGGCTTAACTTCGGTTAAACATCATCTTTGTTTAACCAACTAGTAAATTGTCCACAAATTTCAACAAGTGTTAAACAATGATCTCGGATTAACTTAACTTGTAAATTGTCCACAAATTTCAACAAGTGTTTAAGCAATACTTTTCGGTTTAACCAACTTGTAAATTGTCCACAAATTTCAACAAGTGGTAAACGCATTCTTCTTCTCTACGCCCCCAGTGTGAACTTAAAATCCACTTGGGTTCTCATCATACATGTAGCTTCGACCTTGTCGCCGAGGTTGAATTCAAGCCGAGGTTGTCGGCCTTGGTTTCTCTATTGATCTTACTTGGCTCCAACCTGAGTTTGATTTTCGGCCTCGCATCGGCGAGCCGTTTCTTTTTTCTTGTTCCGACGCCTTTGTTCCCGGCATGTCTTCCTCGGCCCTAGCATACTTCTCAATTCCGACCAACTTTAGTTTGATCTTGTGTGTTTCCTTTTTATCTTCTGGGATCTGATATCTGCTCATTGTGCTCCTCTTCTCGGACTTAGGTGCCGAGATCTTATTTTCTGGAATCTTAGATTTGCTCACTTAGGTTGAGCTCTCGTCTTCTCGGGCCTACTTGTCTAGGCTGAGATCATGTCTTCTCGGATCCGGGATCCAAGATTTGGAATCCGAGATCTGCTCACTCAGGATGAGTTCTTCTATACTTGAATGTTATCTCCTTGGGAGCGCTTATGCCCCCTATCTTTGCATCCCTTCTAGAAGGGTCTTCGTTCCTCCGCAGGTATCTATTCTTCCATACTTGGATGCTGTCTTCGTTGCTTCGATCTGTTGTCTTTGGTGCGTTACCTTCCTGGCTGGCTTCTTTCACTCCGTGACTCTAGTCACGAGTTTCTGCGTTGTGGTTGTGTCCTTCAACGTCAAGGTCAATTGGTCTGCCACTCCCAGCAGTAGTGTCGCCCCCAATGTTTTTCCTCTGTCTGTTACTGGCCATCTATTCTTCTAAGTTCCCACAGACGGCGCCAAATTGTGTGGGTAATTTTCCAATCACACTGCCCGCTTAGTAACCAGCTGAAGAACACCGGCAGAATAGATGGCACCTGACTGACCTGCAACAGAAATATAAGAATCCCGCGGTGGTTCAACCACCCGGGGGCACTCCGACAATCAAGTCAGTACTCAATATCTCTCAAAGATAATCAATAGTGCTAAACTCACTAGCTTGAGCATAAGAAGACATACCTTAGACCTATGGGGGTGCCTTTCTTTTATAGCCAACATAAACCTAGTCCCAATAGAAGCCTAACTTCTATGGACTCAGGATTACTGCTAATTTTGGACTCCCAGTAAGACTAGGATAAACTCTCTAAGAGTCTTATCTTTACCCAAACTGAAGTCTTCTCCCAATCTAAGACTCTTGTCCATATCTAGGTTGAGTTCCCTCTTTATTCTAGGACTCTTGTCCTTTATCCACTTATCTCGGATTCCGATATCTTCGGAGATAACCTCGGCCTTACCGAGATCACCTCGGCGTCACGATCAGGACACGTGGCACCTCGGCTAACACGTCGGCTTCACCTTTCCACGTGTTGGTACTCAGAAAATATATCCCCACATTTAGATATAAAATGACTTGAAGAGACTTCAAGCGAGGATTATAAGTTGTTCGGTGCAGTTTATAAATTCTCTTTGTAATTATTTAAAATGATTTATTTATTTATTTTTATTTTAAGAACTTATGCTAGAATGTGTTATGCAACTTTTACTTGTAATTTATAAGATAAAAAATTAGTTTAAAATAGCTAATTATTTAGATACTGATGAAAGGGTGAAGATTTTAATTTTTTTTCCGATTATGTTAATATTAAACATGAGAAAGCTGCATTAAGGCCAAGTTTGGGAAGACTAAATAAGTGCACTTTTTGACTTTTTATGAAATATGGGTTGGGTTTGGATTGGGTTTGAAGTGATGTGTTAGAGAGGTGATGTGACTTAAATAAGATGATATGACTTAAATAGGATAGTGACTTTTTGACTTTTTGTCTTTTTTCAAACATGCCAAACTTAGCCTATATATTAAGTAAAAAGAAATTTTTAACCCCAAAGTCTGTAGCAGATCCAATCTCTTAGGGCTAGTTTGGCATATACTAAATAAGCCAAAAAGTCAAAAAGTCACTATCTTATTTAAGTCACATCATCTTATTTAAATCACATCACCTCTCTAACACATCACATCAAACCCAAATATTTGAATGAATAAAATCAAGGTCAATGAGTAACAAATTTAATTATTAAATGTGGATAGTCAAATTTAATCAACATTGTTGCAAAAATAAACACATATCTCCAAATTCCAAAATTCATAAAGTTAATATCATCTTCAAAATTTAATAATCAAATTTAATCAACAATATTCCAACACTAAAAACAACACATCTCCAAATCCAAAAATTATAGAGGGCCGAGCCCATTACATTTTAACAATCCACAAACTAATGACCCACGGGCTACGGCCCACAAAATCACTCTCGACTCGCACGACGTCAGCAGCACCTTACGCATGCGAAACCTAACCCTAACCGTAACCAGGCGGTTGGGTCATTTCAGCGGCCTGTTCTCTCTCTCTCTATATATATTTCGAGTTTCAGTCTATCACTATCGGCTTGTGGTTGTAGACGAAGCGACGATGAGTTGAGACGGCGGAGCCGCTGCCGGTGGTGGTGGTGGTGGTGCGAAGGGGAAGAAGAAGGGAGTGATGCAGCCGATGAAGATAAGATCATGGACGTCGCTTCACTGGAAAAGTTCCTCCAGGAACCGCTCAAGGTCGTCTGCAAGGCCGGAGCTCTTCGCGACTCCGTCACCGTCTCTCGTGAAAAGTGCAAGATCACCGTCACCTCCCCCTTCTCTAAGCGGTAAAATTTTCCATTTTTATTATTCTGATTGTTTGCTAAGAAAATGGGGGAAATATTATTGAAAATGTAGGGTTTGGGTTTGGGATCGGGATCGTTAATGGGGCTGAAGTTTGGCTCTTTGGCTGTTGATATTGTGCCTCTGAGATGAATGCAGCACCCTATATCAATATGGAGAAGGAAAGATAAGATTGGTTGTTCTTTCAAACTAGTTACTTGTTCTTTTTCCTATATTGTCTTAGAAAGTTTCCATCATCATCATAATCATCACACAGAGAGAGAGAGAGAGGCGAGGTCGAGAGGTGCAGATCTGTAATATTTCGCCAGCAGCATCCACCTTTGTGGTCACTTCCACTGCCACTGCAGATTTAGGCTTGGTTTGGGGTACACTATTTAAGTCACATATCTTATTTAAGTTATATCATCTCTCTACCACATCACTTCAAACTCAACCCATATTCAGCCCATATTTCATAAAAAGTTAAAAAATGCATTTATTTAGATCATTTCAAATCACCCCTTAAACTCATATCAATCAAGCTAAGGACTAGGTTTCTGATAGCATAAACACAATATAGATGAAACCCTAACCTGTTATTGCCGACCGTCTTCAAGGAGGTTGTAGAGGCATCGTTGAAGCCCTAGGACTCCCTTCCTCACTCAGAATCATGGTGATTCTGAACCCTCCGAAGGAGGCTTCGGTGGTGCGTCATTGGATATATCGCACTGGATGTATTCGATGGGGACGAGGGCTGCGAGCGACGTGGTAGACTTTCCAGGGGCCGTCGGGGTGTCGGAGAGAGAGAGGATCTCGACGAGGCTGTTGCCACTGATGCCGGTGACGCGCCGATGATCAGGGCTACGCTCTGGTACTTTTGAGGTGCACTGTCGTCCTCAAATTTCGGAGAAGAATGGTTTGGTTTTGGTTTTCTCTGTGATTGAAGTTAGGGTTTCAAGTGTGGGTGAGAGAGAGACAGAGAGAGCAGCTGAAGAGAGAAGAGGAGTGGAGAGAGAGTGAGAGAGAGTAGAGGGAAAAGAGAGAGGAAGCGTGACTTGTTTTTTGTTTTAGGGTTTTAGGATCGTGTAATGATATATATAAAGAAGGGTATGTTAGTCATTTTGTTTGAGCTTATTTTTTTGGACAAAATATTTTAGCGTCTGGACTTTTAGACAAATAAAAATACATTTTATATTTTTTTGGCCCGAGCATCCATTTTTAATTCTTACATGTTTATTATTTAATATAAAATTGAATATTTGTTATTTGCCAAGAATTTAAAAATTCATGGATTAATGGGTTAGTTGTTGTTAATATGAGATTCTAGGTCTAAAAATGATTAACCCTATTAGGTTGGTTTGGCTCTTGAATTAGCTTGAGACTAACCCAAACAAACTATATGTATTTTATATATATATATATATCATATATGATTTCATTCAATAATTATATCCTTAAAGAGTGGCAGTGGAATTGACCAAGACAAATTGGTAATTTCAGAAGATTTTTTAATAACTCTTTTTTTCTTTGAAATTTTGTTTTATAATAAGCATTTATAAAATAAAATAAAAAATAGGTGGAACTACACTTCTAACCTGAGTTTATTTGGGTTAGTTTTCAAACAATGTTTGGTTTGGTTTTGGATCTAAAAATTTGGAATCAATCATGATCACATTGGTTCATTTCTAGGTTTGGCTCTAATCTGAACCAACCTTACTCATGTCCATCTTTACAATAAACCTTGTCAGATGGGATTTTTTGTGGATTGTGACCCATTATTACTAATATTTTTTAAGTTGCATTGTTGACATATGTTTACTTTTTGACCAAATTTTCCAAACAATAACATGAAATTTTGGAATTATAAGTTGGGAAAACATAATTATTGTTATGTAGTTTGTCTATTTTGAAACAATGTGTGTGGAAGAAATGGATATGAGCTTCTATATTAAAGCAAGAAACATGCTTTCTCCATTCATAATTCCAGAATCTCATATTATTGTGACAGAGATTTGGCTAATGTAGTCAACAATGTAATCTGCAAAATACTAGTTGTATAATCACGTATATTAATCATAAAAAATAGCTTATTTGTCACTATTTATTGTCACTAAAACACTAGTTAACAATGATACATATACTTATACAAACAAAATAAAAAAAACTAAAATTATCAATGACAAATAATTGATGAATTTTACATTATTGGAATAGAAATAATGCAAAACGAATATGACCAACTTGAAAGAAGTTAAAATTTATAAATAAGAAATAATAATAATTATAAATTCAAACAAAATGTAAAACAAGCCATTTTAAAAAGTTAAAATGTAGGGACTCAAAAAATATTGAAGAATAAATACATATATTGATTATTGTATTTGACGTGGAGAATGATTCTATATATTGAGAGTAAGGCCAGTTTTGGCAAGTCTAAAATAATTTAGAAGTCAAAAAGTTATACAAAAAGCAAAAAAGTCATTACTATTCACAAATAAAAAATATTAAAAAAATATTTTATATATTTTTATAATATAAAAGTTTGATGCATGCTGTAAGCCGTGCTTGTGAAGAAGGAATGCCATTACACACTTTTTGGAGAAAAAAAAAATTACATATGTAAAGTCACAAAGTTTGATGGTAATATATGCCTGTAAAAAATCACGTTGATCGGATATTGTTAACTATACGATCAAATCAGTTTTGTATAAACAAAACGGATGATGTGATAGTTAACTGTTGAAAAAAACTAATCCGATCATATAGCTATCGATATCCGATCAACGTGATTTTTTACAGGTATATAATACACGACGAGTTGTACATATTGAACGATTCAGATTATTAAAATGGGACCCATGGTGGCCCCCACGGATCGACCATCATTTTCCAAACACTTTGTCTCGAAGAAGGCAATTTTTTTCTGTGTAAGACATGCTAGGACAGCAGGGTAGCCATACAACCACTCAACTTTCTTCTACTTTACACTTTATTTATATAATTTTTTATTACATATTTTTTCGTAAAAAGACAAAACGTTAACCCAAACATCTATATTTTTTTTTTTCAATTTTTTAGTTCAAAAAAACAAAAAGTGTATTTATGTAATTTTTTTTTGCCCCAAAAAGTGTATAATGGCCTTTCTGCTTTATAAATACGGCTGACAGCATTCATCAAATTTTTGTATTATAAAAATATATAAAATATTTTTTTAATATTTTTTATTTGTGAATAATAATGATTTTTTTGCTTTTTGTGTAACTTTTTGGATTATTTTTGATTTGCCAAACCTGGCCTAAGAATTTCAATGAAAATTTGGAAGAGCTAACACTCTACAAGGTATCATAATTTCCTTGTATTCTTTCTTGGCCACTCCCCAATTAAAATTTGGGCACTCAATTCACAAATTCAAATCTCAATTTTGTTTGTCCAAAAGTCTAGGCGCTGAAATAATTTATCTAAAAGGACAAGTTTAAGCAAAATGACCAAAAAAACCCTTATATATATAAATCATATAACTCGGTTCAACTTCAAGTAGCACGCTCTCTCTTTCTTTTTTCAAGCTCTCTCTATCTCTTTGTCTGTGTTTTCTCCGTCGTACTCCTCAAAAAGAGAGAGAGAGGGAGAGAGAAGTGAGGTCGAGAGGTGCAGATCTGTAATATTTCACCAGCAGCATCCACCTTTGTGGTCACTTCCACTGCCACTGCAGATTTAAACTCATATCAATCAAGCTAAGGACTAGGTTTCTGATAGCGTAGACACAATATGGCTGAAACCCCTAACCTGGTCTTGCTGGCCGTCTACAAGGAGTTCGTCAGAGCCCTGGGACTCCCTTCCTTACTTAGAATCATGGTGATTCTGAACCTTTCGAAGGAGGCTTTGGTGGTGCGTCGTTGGAGATATTGCACTGGATGTATTCGATGGGGGTGGTCGGCGTTACATGGCAGACGAGGATAGCGAGTGACGTTGTGAACTTTCCAGGGGGCGGCTGGGGTGTTGAAGAGATGAAGGATGTCGGCGAGGTAGTTGCTGACGATGTCGGTGACGCCGATGATCAGGGCTATGCTTTGGTACTTTGGAGGTGCATCATCGTCCTCGAATTTCGGAGAAGAATGGTTTGGTTTGGGTTTTTCCTGTGATTGAAGTTAGGGTTTCGAGTGGAGATGAGAAAGAGAGAGAGACAGAATAGAGGGAAGAGAGAGAGAAAGCGTGACTTGTTTTAGGGTTTTAGGATGGTGTAATGACATATATAAAGGAGGGTATGTTAGTCATTTTGCTTGAGCTTGTCCTTTTGGATAAAATATTTTAGCGCCTGGACCTTTGATCAAATAAAATTACAATTTATACCTTTGGCTCGAGCACTCATTTTTAATTCCTACATGTTTTTATTTAATATAAAATTGCATATTTGTTATTTGCCAAGAATTTAAAATTCATAGATTAATGGGTTAGTTGTCGTTAACATGAGATTCTAGGTCTAAAAATGGTTTACCCTACTAGGTTGGTTTGGTTTTCGAATTAGTTTGAGATTAACCCAAACCAACTATATATATATATATCATATACGATTTCATTCAATAATTATATCCTTAGAGAGTTATAGTGGAATTGACCAAGACATTGGTAATTTCATAAGTTTTTTTAATAACTCTTTTTTTTCTCTAAAATTTTGTTTTTTAATAAGCATTTATAAAATAAAATAAAAAATAGGTGGAACTGCACCTCTAACTTAAGTTTATTTGGGTTAGTTTTCAAACAATGTTTGGTTTGGTTTTGGATCTAAAAATTTCGAATCAATCATGATCACATTGGTTCATTTCTAGGTTTTGCTCTAATCTGAACCAACCTGACTCACGGCCATATTTACAATAAACCTTCTCAAATGGATTTTTTTGTGGATTGTGACCCATTATTACTAATATTTTTTAAGTTGCATTATTGACATATGTTTACTTTTGACCAAATTTTCATTACAATAACATGAGATTTTAGAATTATGAGCTGAGAAAACATAATTTTTATTATGTAGTTTGTCTATTTTGAAATAATATGAGCTTCTATATATTAAAGCAAGAAACATGTTTTTCCCATTCATAATTTCAGAATTTTATTTGGCTAATGTAGTCAACAACGCAATCTACAAAATACTAGTTATATAATCATGATTTATTAATCATAAAAAATAGCTTATTTGCCATTGTTTATTGTCACTAAAACACTAGTTACCAATGATACATAAACAATAACTAAAATTATCAGTGACAAATAATCGATGAATTTTACATTATTGGAATAGAAATAATGAAAAACAAAGTTGGTCATTGAAGGACCAACTTAAACGAAGTTAAAATTTGTTAATGAGAAATGATAATAATTACAAATTCAAACAAAATGTATAAACAAGGCATTTTAAAAAGTGAAAATGTAGGAACTCAAAAAATATTGAAAAATAAATACATATTTTGATTGTTGTATTTGATTTGGAGAATGATTCTATATATTGAGAGTAAGAATTTCAACGAAAATTTGGAAAACTAACACTCTACAAGGTATCATAATTTCCTTGTATTTGTTCTTGCTTACTCTCCAATTAAAATTTGGGCACTCAATCTATAAATTGAAATCTCAATTTTGTTTGGCCAAAAGTCTAGGTGCTGGAATATTTTGTCTAAAAGGACAAGTTTAAGCAAAATGACCAAAAAAATCCTTATATATATATATATATATATCATATAGCACAATTCAACTTCAAGTCACACTCTCTCTCTCTCTCTTCAAACTCTCTCTCTCTCTTTCTCTGTGTGTGTTTGTGTGCGCGCGCTTCCTCTGCCCTCTTCCGTTGATGACCTCTTCCCTCTCTGACAGATCTAAGTTTGGTGCAACACTTCACACCTCTAGTCCCTCTCTACTGTCACCGTGGCACACCGAGTCGGACTGTGAAGGCTTCGTTCTCAAGGTCCTTCCGCTCTAGCTCCGCTCTCCAATCAAGCTCTTGTGATGCACTGATAATCACAGGGAACTCATCGAAGTTGTCTTCGACATTGCTCTCTCCCACAAACTCCGCCACCCATACTCAGATCTCTTGTAGCGACCCCGATTTGTAAATAACTACTAATTCGTAATTAAGAATGCTAACAAGTGTTTAGAATAGAATTATGTGTTATTATTAATTGTAATATGTGCTTTGTAGTAATTTGTGCATATCTATCTGATTTGAAAATTATTTGTCATGATTTCTACTTTGAATCTGAAATTGTTAGCCAAAATGCTTTCAAAAACCGAATTTGAGTTCAGGGATTGACTAACTAGAATATTTGGAACCATATGAGAAGTTTTGTTAAAAAATTGATTCAGTTTAGTAAAATCGCATGTGATTAAATTGAGCCTTAATTGGAACTATTGTGGATTAATTGAGTTATGTGCTAACCTTGATTAATTAAGGTTACTTATGTTTAATTAAGACGATACATGATTTATGCCTAATCTACTTCTATTCATGATTTAAGATGTGATTAAGCGTATTATGTGCTGAGGCATTTTGTAATGTTGGGCGTAGAGGATTAAAATCCTTTAGTGGGTGTGTGCTGAGAAATTTGTGTGAGTGTATTAAAAAATTTGAGTTGGGCATTTTGTGTTGACTGTAGGGGATTAAAACCCTTGTGTGTGTGTGTGTGTGTTAGAGTTTTGCATGTGTGTGCACGTGTATTATGCTCAAGAAGTGAGTGTGTGTTGTGTATATTTAGCTGAGTGAGGGAGTGTTTGTATCATTCCTTTGCTTATTTGGTTCTTTGTGTTGAGAGAGTTCGAGCTTAAGAGAAAGAGAGAGAGAGAGTTTGGCTTTAGTGAAAGAGGTCAAAAGTTTGAAGAAGAAGAAGAAAACTAGGAAAATTCATCTCACATTTCTGAAATTAAAGCCTTGGGTAAGGATTTTATGTCAAATTTCTGTAGCTATTCCTCCATGCGTCATGATTTCATCAAGTTTTAAGCTATTTTCATGAGAGTGCAAGAAATGGGTCTTTGAACATGTAGATTACTTTCATGTGTATTCATGGTAGATCATCTTTGATTTTATCATTTTAAGTTTGAGTTTTAAAGTCCTTGTATGCATGTGAATTTAAATCATGTCCATTGTTTCATAAATTTATGGGTTTGTTGATCACCATTTACATGTTATGAAAAACCATGAAAAGAATTGAAAAATCTTGCATGAAGGAGTTTTGATTCAAATCTTTCAAGAATTGATGAGTTTTTGAATAAAAGATGTTTTAAGGGTCTTGTATTGAAGTTTTCTAAAGCTATTTTATGTGTTTGATCAAATCATGCAAGACCCTAAGTTTTGAAAGTTGTTTGGAAGCCATTTTTGTTAAGCTTGGTGCCCAGAAATTCACAATTGGTTCGAGCGAAGAAGTGGTGGCTTGAGCCAACATTACGAGCTCCCAGTATTTTGAACTTTGCAAAAGCTGGCTCAAGCGAAGGAGTGGTGGCTCGAGCGAGCTCAATTTTTGCCTTCAGCTGGCTCTAGCCACCAACTTATTTTTAGTATGTTTTCAAAAGATGTTTTAAGTACATATCTTCACTCACATCTCTTTTCGGGCATTCTTAGGCATGATTTATGAGCCATTAAGGATTAATGAGCTAAGAAACAACATACGTAAATGAATTAGAAATTATGTGTCGAATCTGAGTATGTGGTTCTATATGAACAAGCTATGTGACATGGAATGAATATGAAGTTAAAGAAAGAAAGCTAAACCATGTATGGCCACATGAATGAGTAATAATGAGACATGTTTTGTGCTATGTACATTTATGTTTGTAGGTCAAGACTCGAAGACTGACCAACCGTTTTTGAAAGCTCACGTTGAGTAACATTTCTGTAAAGATATGTTCATATGAATTATGTTCCAAATGTGATTTGATAAGTTATGATTTCTAAAGTGATGATTATTTACGTGAACGAATGTCCTATGTTTGAAATCTATTATGGCATCCGTAGATAGTCCTAAGTCATGGGGGACGGCATGTAAATGCGGGTCCATGGCATACATGTGATTACGAGATCTCGTTAGCCACTTCATTGCGGTGATATGTGTTTAATCGGTATCCGTAATCGATTACTCTAGTTGGAAGACGATATGTGATGTGTTCTATGGAATGTACCATTATTATGTTTAGATACGAGAATGATTATGCAATGATCTGTTTTATGCTTATGACATGTTCGGATTTCGTTCACTAACCTCTTTACCTTAATGTTATTCACTGGGTTTTAGCTCACTGTGTGTATATATATGTATAAGTGGGCATTCTGGAGATCGAGCCTGAAGGCTTTTGTCAATCTGTGTTTTGTTGTCAGCCAACCATTGTGCCTCACGTGGAGGTTCTTGAAATGTTGTGTGTTATAAGTTCTGGTTGTTTCTATATATAGGACTGTTTTGTTTTTTGTTGGCTGTACTTAAGATGTTATAGTTAAGTGTGTGGGCATAACGTGAAAATGATTTTTGGTTATGTATTTAAAGTTTTAAATATTCTGTTTCATGTAAGTCTACACAGCTCATTGGACAACTATATTTATGTATTTGCTTCCGCTAGTCCCTTAATTTTGTTAATCTGTTCAGAGGCTTTCGTTAATCTAAGGATTACTGGCCGGTTACGATACTAAACCTATAGGGGGGGTTTGGGTTGTGACATCTCTCTCTCTCCCTCTCCCTCTCCCTTCGCTGATCTTATGCATATTTACTATCGCTTTCGTCTTATCATCACCTCAGATCGGTAGCTACAATGGTGATCCGAGAGATAGATTCAAGGTTTTAAAAAGCGATTGCAACCGTTACGTAATGTCGTTGCGTAATAGTTGTGGTGGTTACTGCCACCCGTTACGGTTGCTTTTGCGGTATGATTGAGATTCACAAGTGTATCGGCTGTAACGGCCTGTTACGCACCATTACGTAACGGTTTTGAATTGCTTCTTTGGGGAAAAAAAAAAATGAGGGAAGAAGGATAGAGAGAGAAGAGGGAAAATGGAGAAGTAACAGATAGAGAGAGAAGAGGGAAGATGAAAAACATGTTATTGATTTGTTGAAGCTGTTGGACCTATGTTATTCTATTCAGCTACTATTACTCAACTATTTTGTTTGTGTGTGTCCATCTATATATTGTTTGAAAATAATAATAATAATAATAAGTGTAGTCATTATCTATTTGGCTTGATTAAAAATATATATATATATATATATATTTAGGCTCTTATGTATTCTTTTACTTTTGTCATTATTTATCTTATATATAATAGTTTGTGATTGATTTTTTTTTTTTTGTAAAATGTCTAGAAAACATATCACCTATAATTATATATTAATACATATTTTATACAAGTTAATTTTTTTTTGATTAGTTTATTTTATTTTTATTTACAGGTTATCCAAAAAAAGAATGAATATTCAAGTGATCCAAACAAAAAAAAAGCAAAATTCTTTATAATTTATTTTTATAATTTATTTTTTAAAACTATTCAAGTTAAAATTTGCATATGTTTCCACAAGTATAATAATTAAAAAATAATTTTATATATCTAAGTCTAATAAATATTTTTTTTGCCACAAGCGTAATCTGGATTATGACATATAAAGTCATTAATTATTAAATAAAATGTAAAAAACTTAGTTTATAGTGATTTAAAAATATGAAATATATTGGATCATACTTAAAAATTTATAAAAATTGATCAATATTTATTCTAAAACCCAATAAATATGATTATGAAAAAAAAATTTGCGTATTGGTAAGTTTTATATTTTTTTTTCAAATTGTGCGAAAAATAAAAAAATTTACGGTTCTGATTTTCGTAACCGTTACGCTACGGTCTTTACACCCTGCAACTGCGCCACAGCCACCGTTAACGCCACCGCAATTGTTTTTTAGAACCTTGGATAGATTCCAAAAATCTGTTGCTCTCTCTCTCTCTCTCTCTCATCTTCACTCTGTTTCATGCTATATTACATTTATATATATATATATGTGTGTGTGTGTGTGTGTGTATGTGTGTATATCTGTTTGTGAATGGCTTTGAATATGAAACCCTAACCCTATATATATTACATTTTTTTTTGTTGTTTTTAATCTGGTTTGGGCCTTTTTTTGTAGTTTTTAATGGTGATTATAGCATGAGATAGTTAAGATTTGAGTCAAGATTTGTTGTACTGGCAATCTAATGTTGTTTTCATCATTTTAATTTTGGATGGAAGGATAAATCTATGGATTTATTGTTCTGTTGAACATGTTCATCATCATGTTCATTGTTGTGGTTGTGGGGGTGTTATTGTTATTGTTATTGTTGTTGATGATGATGATTATGATGATCAAAATCAATCATACAATTTTTTGATTTTATTTTTGTGTTGAATAGATAGGGATGAGAGAGATAAATGGAGAAGAAAGATTTGAATAGATAATAAAATATGTTTAAAATTTAAATAGATAAAAAAAAACTTAAATAGATAAAAAAAAATTGAACAAATAGTTTTAAAGAGATAAGTGAAAAAACTGAGTAGATAATCAAATTTGGATAGATATTTGAATAGATAAGGGAAAATTTTGAACAGATAGTGAAAAATTTGATCAGAGAGGGAAATTTTTTGAACAGATAATCAACAAAAGTCAACAGATAAATTAAGAGATAAAATTAGAAATAAAATGTTCTCTAAGAAAGGATTTCTTACCAAATTATTTAACAAATGGTATAACTTTTACCCCAAAAAATACAACAATGTTAGGTGACCCGAAAAATCATGGCTCGAATGGCTCAAAACGATGTCGTTTTGAGTGTAAAATGATGTCGTTTTGAGTGTAAAACGATATTGTTTTGACACATTCGAACCACAAAAATTCGGACCACCAAATATTTTTCAAAAAAATATTCATTAAATCTAATGCTTTATACTCTCTTTAGCTTGGATTTTTCAACAATTATCTCTTAAAATTTCCGTCAATAGTTAGTTCATGCTTGGGGTGGGCGTTATATATGCTCAGTTGTTTGTTAAAATTACCAGCCCATCATTCTCACAGGTTTTGACCTCCCATTGAATATTTTTTTTTGTTAGAGTTTTTCAAAAATACTTTTCAGAAAATTTTACTTTCTTATTTTTTGTGTATTTTTTTTTTTACTGAATTTTTTTAATATGTTAAGCAATTTTTTTTTTAATAGTTAGACATACCTAACATAAATATACCTAAAAAGTAAAAAAATCGTGAAAAAGACCTTTTAAAAATTTACTAAATATCAAAAATAAAAAAATATATATATGAGAATTCAGTGTATTTTTTGTATTTTTATGTATTTATTAATTTCTTAAAATATTTTTTTACAAATTTTTTACTTTTTAGATACATCTAAGTAATGTGCATCTAAAAAAAATGTTTAAAATTTTAAAAATATTTACTAAAAATAAAAAAACATGAAAATTAAAAAATTTAATTTTTAAAAATCTTAATTAAAAAGACTCAAACCAAACACACACTGATTAATTTTAGTTGTAATGGTATGTTATGGTTCATATCGAAGTAACTGCTTAGATTGATTTTGCTTCAAATATTTGAAACTGATATTTCCGAACTTATTAGCCCATTTGTGAAACAATAAATATTCGAACTTCGGAACAGTGTGATAAAAAGTAAAATAAAAAAGAAGGTTAAGCATGATGAGGTCATACATAGTTGTGGGCTAGTAATCGGAGCTTAAATGTTATATATTTAGGTGAAGTTGGGCACCTTTAAAAAAATTTAAAAAAAATTAAAAGTCATTATTTTTTAAGTCACATTATCTTATTTAAATCACATCACTTCTCTATCACATCATTTCAAACTCAATTC